AGATCGCAAAAATGTTGTAGGATGTAGCATAGCTGAAAACAAAAATTCTAACGAGAACTGATTTTCCTTTTATACTGATAAATAGTCGTTTCCTCTTTTTTTTGTTTTAGGAAGATTTTTAGGGAAAGGTCAAATAAGTTCTCGTGCTTTAAAAAAAAATGTTGTTTGTACGAGAAAAAAAATGATAGAAAAAAAAGACTGATATTATTTTTTTTTTATATAAAAAAAATGAAAAATAAAGAATAAAATCAAAACCAGCAAATTATTAAATTTCATTATTTTGATTACGTTATAAATTGGTATTTCTGAAAAAAAAATATTAGAAATTTTTTTGTTAAGTTTGGTTAATTTAAAATTATTATATAATTATCAATTTTAATAGTTTACTAATTTTGCTCAAGTTAAAAAAAAATAACACATAAATTCAAGTGTATGGAATGTATTTTAAAATAATTAAAAAGAAAAATGAAATATTGACTCTTGATTTCTTTTACAAAAAAATGTGTCATATATTTCAATACGTATCCATACATATATATATTTTGTTGATGAATGCCCCCAAAAAAAATGAAAATAATTGATAGCTGTTTTGTTTCAAATTATAGATAAAGAAATTAAATAAAAAAAAATTTATAGCTATATATAAATATATATATAAAATAATAATACAAAAAAATGTTGGAGATAAAGTATTTAAAAAAAAACGTTCTCCAACCCCTATTCTCTCAACTAAGGGTAGTAAACCACGACACTTTCCAGGAACCATGCAGATTTTATTAGATGGGAAAATAAAGAAAATTACGATGATCAAGAATTTTCAAATAACATATCAAAGGCGGATAATAAAACATCTTATGAACCTAGAAATGTAGATGACAATAGAAGTCATTTTCCAGCATGTAATACCATTAAAGTAGAATCCGAAACGTTACAAATACATACTATGAACATGTCAAAAAAAAAAAGGAAAAGAAGGAAAACAAGAAGAATGCATATCAATAGATAAAAATGAAGATTCTATTGAAAATAATCGCAATCGGTCGGTCACTGAAGAAGATTCATACCTTATTCAGGATTATCCAATTCTTAAAAATGAAGAAGATGAAAAAGAAGAAGTAAAACAAAAAGAGTTTAAGGACAATCAAATTTTTCCAAGTAATGAAGAAATAGAAGAAGAAACAGAAAACGAATTGAAAGTTAACGAGAAGAAAACACAGAAAAATGCAAAGAAAAAAAATAAAGGACAATGATAAAACAAAAAATAAATCTATATGGGTAAAAATTTTATTTAGTCAGGTACTATGGGGTAGAAAACCGAAAAGAGTACAACAGAATATATGCAAAAAAATGTTTTACAACCCCTAACCCTTTCTCTTCTCTTGCTGTCGTCCCTTGACAGCTCTCTTTTATTTTTTTTTTTTTTTAAATGAAGGTGAGAAAAAGGTTAGTAGAAATGAATTTGATTCATGTTATATTTTATTCATATTAAAAAAATGTGTCGCATTTTTGTATTATATTTTATGTAAAAATTGCTGATCCTCTTTTATTTTTGTTAGTTTGCAGAAAGTGTTTCCTTTAAGTGTTCGGTTATATTACGTGATCAGTCTTTCTATAGTCTTTCTCGAGTTCTAAGCTATATTACAAAATTTTGTTTCATTTGTTATTTGTTTGAAGTTTCTTTGTGCAAAATTTTTTTTTTTTTTAAACAACTTATGTCTTCCCAATCTCTTTCTTTCGACTCTTATAAGATGGCCCTTGAATTGGCTAGGAGTGGCGTGGTGGATGTGGCGGGTTTTTTAGTTTGGAAGAGGTTCGAGCTGGAGAAATTGCAGTCAGATAAAGTATTGAGTGGCTGTCGTGGGTATGTATTTTGTTCAATTACTTCCTTTCCTTTTTTTTTATAAAGTGTTTTACGTTTATTTAATTGTGATTTTACTTAAAACAAGAAAAATTTGTTTTAGGGTTCAAATTTTTATACCTGAGTGGGTAGATGCTCCAGTTAGAAACCCTTCTTTCTCTAAATGGCCCTTGGATTTGGTGGGTATGCGGAAAGCAGTTAAAAGCGATGTGGGGGAGGTTATTTGGCGCCAAGAGTACCGTTGGAGTTGGGTGGAAAAAAAATACCAATACCGTGGTTATTGGGCGCCTACATCTTTTGAACACCCCACCTTGTGTACAGTTCCTGATACCTTGGAAATTGAGGAGATACAGGGTTGTTTGGGTGTTAATATCTACAATTAGTGAGTATTCTAAATTTCTACATTTGAAATTTTGCGTGAATTAATATACCTAAAAAAAAAATAAAATTTGATTCTCAACTTAAATATTTTTCCCTTTTGTTTTTACAGTCCTTATTCCCATTTACCCGCTTTTCCAAGGACTTATGGGCCACGTCCTACTGATCCGGCATTAGAATTAATCTTTTGTCAAAGATACCGCAAAAAGTGGGAAGATCTTGTTTTAGTGGGCAGTAGGTGGGAGACGGTAAGTTCCCCCCTTTTTTTTTTTTTTGCTTTACCAAATTTTGTTAAAAATAAAAAAAAATAAAATGTTTTTCTCTTTTGTTTTGTTTTTTTCAGAGATGGGCTTTACGCATGCCTGTCATCTGGCATGAGTGCTAATTTTAGTTATTTATTTATTATTATTATGTATTGTATTTTAAAAAAAAAAATTCCGCTTTTCCTTAATAAAAAAAATTTTTCACGTTTTTAGAATTAAATATAACATTAATTAATAAACAATATTGAGTTTTTATTGTTGATTTTAATAAAAATTAATAATTGCAATGTTCGTCTTTTTTTTTGTGTTCTATACTCCCTTTCTTTTTTTTTTCTTTTTTTTTTTTTTTTTTAAAAAAAAATTAAACAACAAAAAAAAATTTTGAATAAATAAAAGAACGAAAGTTTGTTTGTTTTCATGGTTAGTGTGTTGTTAAAGGTTGTGGTTATTTTTACTATATATCTTTTCTTTCAGTAAAATTTATTAATATATATTAAAAAAAAAACGATAGGTTTTTCAATAATTTTTTACTAAATAATATCCTTATAAATAAATAAATAAAAAGAAATACGCAAAAAAAAGAAAAGGAAAAAAAAACTTGTTGTCTGATAATTGAAATATCTTTGCCGCTCTCTTTTATTTTCTGTGCTACCTATAGTACTTGCGTACTTATGGTAAGCCATTAGGCTTTACATTGTTCAGCAATTAATCCTCGCGGTGGCAGCATCTTGCAGCCCGTCGCGGTTTCCTTCCCCCTTCGTTTCTACCTCCTTCTAATCCCTGTTTCTTTTTCCATTGTTTCGCTTCCGCGCGGTCCTCGCGGCACGCAATAATTATATCGCGCTTCATTTTTTTTTTTTTTTTCGTTTTTTTTTTTTTTTTAGTGATTTGTGTTTTTTTTTTTTTCTTTTTTTGGTGTTTGTTCTCTCCCTTTTTGATAGTGTAAAGTGGATAAAACAAAGTGTATGTGTAGTGTATTTACTCTAAGTCCGCCCTTCCCCCTTTTTACTCTGTTTTCTTTTTTGTGTTCGTTTCGAAGTGTTTGCTGCAAAAAAAAAATTTTTTTTTTTTATATGGATTACGTTGGATTATTTGTTTAACTTGTGTTTCATGGATTAGTTCCAGAATTACAACATCGGTAAGTCTCAACAAATAATCCTTTTCATATATCTCCTTCATATATTATTTTTTTTTTATATTGAGTAATTACCAATTTTAATTTATATTTAAAGTATAAGTATAATTTAAAATATTTTCATTTTTTCCTTTTTTATTCTTTTATATTTTTATTTTCTTTACAACTTATTCTTTCAGCTTTTGCTGAGTTTTGTTTTTTTTTTGATAAGCCGTCTCTCTCGCGTGTCAAATTTCCCGCGGTCTTTGCGAGGCTGCCATGTTTAAACTTTTTCTTTTTAATATATTTTGAATTTAACTCTCCCCAAAAAAAAAATTCCTTTTATTTCTATTTTTTTTTTTTATATTTAATGTGATATTACCCCATCGCAATATCTAATATTATATCTATTATTTTATACAACATTCCATCCCCCATATAATTGGACTAATCTTTTATAATATCTAATTATTTTATACTTTATTTATTTATTTTATTTTCTTTTTTTTTTTTTTTTTAATTTTTCAGATACGTCATTTAATTATTCTCTCTTTTCTTTTTTGTTTTTTTTTTTTATATAAATAATTTTGAATGTGAATTTATTAAAATATGAATTTAAATTAATTTTTTTGAATCGTCGTGAAATTATTTTATTCAAACTTATTGATATCTTTCAAAATTTTAATTGATTCTTGGATAAATCTTTGAATTGAATTTTGTTTTAAAATAATTAAAAAAAATGAAAAACTTTCGTTATTATAATTATTAGTAGGGAAAAAAATTTTTTTTTTTTTTTTTAAATATCAGTATTTTTTTTTTGTGGTTAAAAAAAAAATCGTAAGAAAAAAAATTAGTCAAATAATATTGGCCTTGTATACAAATCATTATTTCTATAGTGTTAGTGGGGTTCCGCGCTGAACGCGTTGAGTGTAAGCTCCCCTCGCGTCCCTCGACATTGTGCGAGAGAGAAAGAAACTGCGTGCTGCAACTCCCCGTTCACTCTCTCTCTCTCTCTCCAATGCACTTTGCTCACAACCTTCGGTCCTCTCTGTTTTCTCATTGTCTTTCCCTGTTACTCTTATGCCTAATGCATGAGTGGCTTTATATTATTTCTCTCTTAGTTCTTAACGTCGTTTAGCGGCATTTATTTTATATCTTTTTATTCTTATATATATATATTTATATTTTTTTTATTTAAACAAATTAACTCCCCAAAGAAAGATGCATTACCCTTGTTAGTTCTATCCCTTGATTAATATAATATATATTTTTTTTTCCTTTTTTTTTTTTAAATGTCACTTAATCAATTAATCAATTAATTACTTAACCAACTCAAATTAATAACTACTTAAATCAATAATAATCAAATGTTGATTATTAGTTAATAATTAATTGTTCCCTCCCCAAACAAAACATACTAATTATATTTTAAACTTATAGTTTCTTAATTTTCTCCCCTTTTTTTTTTAGTATTATGAGTTCCCCTGCCTCCGGCTCCAGTGATTTGGAGTTTGTTTCCCTTACCCGCCGTGAGGACATTGTTTGGCCCGAGGTAGAGATTGATTCCACTTGTAGTGCAATCAGTGACGCCTCTACTCTACCCTTACTCACTAGTACCCGTAAGTGTCTATAACTACCCCTAACTTTTTAAAAAAAATAATGTTTTGCATAAAAAAAAATTTTTTTTTTTCTTTTTTTTTTTTTATTTTTATTTAGTTTGTTTTTTTTTTTTTTTTCTAAAATATTTAAAAAAAAATTTTCTTTCTAGCCGCCCAAAGTGAAATACCGGACACTCCTGCTTCCCCTGATCCTGTATTTGAGGCGTATTTTGACGCCCATGCACGACCTTATAGTCCAGGTTAGTAGCCTCCCAAAAAAAAATATCTTTTTATACCCCTATATTTTACCCCGTCCTCACTTTTTATTAAAAAAAAATTTTTATTTTATTAAATTTTTCCTCTTTTTTTTTTTTTTAGCCCCCCTTTCTACTGGTGTTGAATCCGTTGGATCTCGCTTGACACGAGCCAGCTCCACCCAGACCAACCCCTATTTTCCGGAGGGTTTACCTTTGGAAGGTATTAGCTTATTTTTATTACTTCTAATAATTCAGTTAATGTATGTAAATAAAAATTATAACTTTTTCACTACCCCCTCCTTTTTTTTTATTTTTTTATTTTTTTTTTTTTTTAGGCCATCTTTATAGTATTCCGGCGCACAGTTCGGCTGAACATTTGCTGAACAGTGATCTCCCTCTTCGTCCCTATGTTGAGTATTTATTTCAAATAATATATATAATAATAATTTTAACAAAAACAAAATTCCCCTTTTTTTTTTTTTATTTATTATTTTTTTTTTTTTTTATTTATTTTTTTTTTTTTTTTTTAGAACCCCCTGCGGCTGACGAGCAAGTGGTCCTGCAGCTGATCGCTCGGCGTAGGAGTCTTGGCTGATGGTTCCATCCGAACGGAATATCGGTGGGCTGGTCCTAATTTTTATTAAGTAAGTTTACCCTTGTCTATTTCTAATTCGCCCTGTTCTTTTTTTTTTTTTTTTTTTTTTGCGGCGTCACTTTAAAGTAAGTATATATTACAACCGTAATTTTTCTTATTAATGTAATTCTAATAACGTGCTAATTTTATTATTGTATATAATATGTATAACTGTATGCTCTTTTTTTCCTTTTAAATACCCTTTTTTTTCCTTTTAGAACCCATTTTACATTATTTGTTGACCTGCAACTGGGCTAATAAGATGCTTTTCACTATTCAGCGACAACATCTTAATTGTGGTTGTTTATACATAGTTGCGCGTGCATAAATATGCATTAGTGGCAGCTAATATTTGTAAAAAAAAACAAAAAATCCTATATATAAAAAAAAAAATATATATTTCCCCCCTCTTTTTTTTTACCTTAAATCTATATTGTTAGTTCTTTCCCCTTTTTTTTAAAAAAAATATGCTACTATTTACAACGATATACCTCAAAAATATATATATATTAGATCAACCCGATCTATTTCATTATTGGTTAAAAAAAAAATGATTATTTTTTTATTTTTTTTTTCAATGGATTTTTACAACTGGACACATTACGGTTCTTCTTTTTGGTTTTGGTGTAGGTGTCCCTGAAGTTAATACTTGCATAGATTCTGAGAAGCTAGCTGTAGCTTCTTCTTTTGTAGATGTCGTAACCTTTGTTTGATTTATTTCGGTTGGAATGTCTTGGGATAAATCTCTTAGTGGTACTTCATTGGTTTTGTCCTTTCCATTCAGGATATTGTTTATGGTTGTGGATCTTTTCTTACAAGTAATCATAATTATTATCATTGTTGCTAAAATTGCTATTGTGGCGACCGTGCCCCAAATTCCTATCATTATTGGGGAATACGTCTCATTGAGTTTTTGGTTCAACACACGTTGGCTTTGTTCTTCGAATTCTTTCTCTAATAATTTCAGTTTTTCGTCCGAATCCGACTTTTTCCATGAAAAGAATTTGTTGTCGTTTTCTACTACTACAACCTTCCGACCTACATCTTTCAGTATCAATGATACATTTTCTAACTTTAATTCGAGTTTGGGTTTATAAAGATATCTATACGGATTCTCTTTAATTTGAAGACTCGGCAATTCTATAGTATCTAACTTAAGAACACATTCTCTCGCCACATGTACAATTCCTATACCTGCCAAAGTATAAGCTTCGGCTTCTCTCTGTGGGCAATTCAAATACACTATTTCCGAATGGATAAGAGAGTATAACCAACTACCTGTTGTGATCAGTGGTTCCCAAAGTGGTTGTTGATTTTTAGTGAACCTGATGTCACAAATTTTTAGGGTTTCGTTGTTTGGATTTCTTCGAAGCTCGGCCTCACAACCCGGTACTGACAGAATATCGTAAACTCCATGCATGTGATAACATATGTATTTATCTTCTATCTGCTTGCAGCTTTTAAGTTGTTCCTCATTTAGATAAAAATAATACCTTTCATCGCTTGTAATTGCTAGATATTTTGCATATGCTGATATATAAGCTCTAGTTCCGTTCTCTCCTGACTCTTGTAACACCGGCACTTCATGCATCTTATATAATGTGTAAATTCTCTCTTCCACCAGAGGAATATCTAAGGTTATAATCAAATTATTCTCGCTAGTGTGTATGTCTGTTTGTGAGATTCTATCCACGTCTGAAAGTGTTATATCGTCTATAGGTACCGGAAAGTCCACACCCTTCAAATACTTCTTCGCCTCTGTTGCTATGTTTACTAGTTGTTCGTCTGTTAACAATTTAGGTGACAATTTTCCTTCTTTCGCCTTATACATTATATCAAGTGTTTCACTTAGACCGTGTTCGTAAATCCCTATTTCGCGGTTCCAATTTTCAATGGTATTCCTAATATTGTTCAAATAAGCTTCGTGATCCAATTCCTTTCGAAAACGTAAAATTTCATCCTCAAACGCTCTTAAATTTTCCCTGAACTCTTGCGATTGATTGTGTTGTTTTTCGGCTATGTCATACATTTTGTGTAATTCCGCTCGGACTACATGTGTTTGTTCGCCCATTAAATGAGAAATATTCCTTTGAGCTTCATTGAGTTCTAACATAACCGCCTTATAGTTTTCTCCTTCTTCGTAGGTTAAAACTCCGATCGTGGGGCCTATCAGTTTTCCTAGTATCCCGATTAATGGTGCACTTCTTTTGTTAATTCTGTTATTTAGGAATTCTCGTTTTGTTGACTCCGAATGTTTTAGGGCTTTGATAACCCTTTGTACTTCTTTCCAGTGCAATCTAGCTATCTCTAACCTATTTTTCAAGCCTTCCGTGTCCGCGAAGTGATGACAATTACTGCCCAATATTTTCCTACATGGCTCGTTAGATCCTATTACGTGTTTTTCGAAAACTGGTAGTTGGTTTAAAAAATCTTCCATGTCTAAAACAATGGCTGTTCTCCAAAACCCGGTGGTTCTTAGTACTGTGGATATTCTTTCATAATAAATGCCTGAACTTTTGTTCATTGGTATTATAGTGATGCCTGAATTTTGTCCTCTAACTGCTAATAAGATCCCGGTTAGAAATAGCGCTATCCCCTTCATTTTCGGCTGTGATTCTGCAACCAAAAATTTAAACTGACTTTTAGTTAAATTGGCTAATCTATTGGATTTGGACAATATGCGTCTCTCTACTCTATAGCTAGTTTAGCTAATTTATCTGCTTCTTCGTTGCCTTTTATTCCACTGTGCCCCGGTTCGTAAATTAGTTCTACTTTGATCCCGGTTATGTTATCGCTTAGCTTGCTAAATATCTCCTTACTAACTACAGTTTTCCTTCTGTTCGTTTTCCACCCATTTTTCTGCCATTTTGGTAACCAGCTCAGGTAACCATCTATCGCAAACTTAGAGTCGGTGTGTATCCTGACTTTGCATAACCCTTTTTCTTTAGTATGCTAATTGTTTTCACGATAGCTTCTATTTCGGCTCCGTTATTTGTTTGTTTCATCTTTGCTTTTTCACTGACATTGAGAGGATGTTGTTTATTGAACCAGATTCCTATTCCTGCTCTCGCTGATTCTTTTCCATTAGCTTTACAAGCCCCGTCGGTAAAAACATGTATGAAACCTTCCCTATCCTCTAGAAATCCTGCTTCGTTTTCTAGTCATAAGTACGCCTTTTTGACTTGGTCTTTGTGCTTTCTAAACCTTTTTCCTTCAGCATCGCATAGAATTAAGTTGCTATTTTCAGTTATTGAAATAACTTCGTAGGGTCCGTGATAATAGGGTTCAAACTTCCCTGCTCTGACCTCTTCTTTTACATCTACTACATCACCTACTTTTATATCCAACGGCCTAGCTTGTTGGTCATAAACCTCTTTTGATTTAATTTTAGCGTCTATTATATTTTTTGCCGCTAGCCTCCTGATTTCGATAAGCCGCGTAACCAATTCTTGCAAATAGGATTCGTACGTTGCTAACTTCTCTTCTGTGGGAAAAGATGTGGGAATCCTTGCCTTCTTCCCAAATACTACCTCATAAGGTGTGAATTTAGTCGCATTATGTACTGAGGTATTGTATGCTAACATCGCAAAGGGTAATAAGCGATCCCAATCGTCGTTTGAATTAGCGTAATGTCTAATGTATTCTGCCAATACGGCATGGCTTCTCTCTAGGGCACCATTCGTTTGTGGATGATAAGCAGTAGTGGTTATTTGTGACACTTTAAAAAGTTTGGCTAATCTTCTCATTAAATTGCTAGTGAACATTCTACCCCTATCTGTTAGGATGGTTTTAGGTGCTCCATAAATTGAAAATAAGTGCGTTGCTAGAGCGTGAGCTATTGTCGTCGCACTTATGTCTGGGACGGGTATAAATATGCAATATTTGCTTAACTGGTCTTGCATAGTCAATACGTGACAATTTCCATCCGCCGTAGTGGGTAATTTTCCTACCGTATCCAGGCACACTTTGTCGAACGCTTCTAGGGGTGTATCGGTTATGAGCATTGGTTCTCTATTTTTTGTTCGTATTATCTTTCTTTGCGCGCAACTTCTACATTTTCGGATATATTCAGTAATATCTTGTTTTAATCCTGGCCATGTAAATTTTTCTCTGATTCGCTGGTACGTTTTGTTTACCCCTTTATGACCTGCTATTAAACTATCATGGTATTCTGATATTATTTTCTCGCGATATTCCTTTGTGGGAATGTTTATTTTTCCGTAGCATAACTTAATTTCGATTTCACTGCTGAGAAATGTTGTTACTAACTTTTCTATACCTTTTTCACCCCATTCATCCAATAAGTCACCATAGCGCGACACCCTGAATCGTTTTATTCCCTCTTTGATTAAAATACCTTTAAGATTGTGCAAAGCGAAATCTAAATCCTCTTCGTTTATTTTTTGATCGCATTTTTCTGTTATAATTACGGTGAAAGTCCTATATTTCCCTTTTGGCGTAATTAGAACCTGTCCTACCCTCGGTTTGCTACTTTTTATTTCCTGCAAATCTATTCTTCCTGTCGCTATCAACAACTTAATCGTTGGTGTAGATGGCTCTGCATCTGCTGACATAAAATGAACATAATTGTCCCTATTATTCGTTAATGGTCCTCTATCATAGGTTAGAACATTCAGCCTATCTAGTTTAATTTCCTTTTCATCTTGTTTCGTATTTTGGAAAGGAGGTTCTCGAACGTCAATGTGGGGCATCGCTATGTTTATCCCAGGTTTGAACCTTATCTTATTTTTATCAGGCACCCTTTTTACTTCGTTCGTTATTATTTTACGTGGAACCACTCCCTTTTGCCTAGGCTCTATTTCTAAATCGTCTAACTCTGATTCTTCCCGAATCGGGTTAGGTACATAGGGGGTTGATTGAGCATTAGGTCTCGCCCTTGAGATGGGGGTGT